ACACAGGCCAATCAATCCCTGGCCCCAAGGGAATAAAGGCTTCAGTTTCTACTTGGAAATAAAACCACTGGGCTGGAATTCAAGTCGTTTTTCTTCAAGTGAGAAACATTCTTGCAATCCCCATCCAAGTCCATGGACAGTGACCGACTGGCTCACGCCTCATCTCCTGTGCTCCAGTTTTAACTGTCACTTGAGCCAACCTGGAATGTGCACGCAAAGGAGGAATTATCTAGATCAGACTGGCCTGTGGGCTTGTCAGTGCGGTCTACCTGACTGATGGTTGGCATGGGAGAGCCCAGACCACTGCAGACAGTACCATTCCCTGGGGTAGGTCCTTGCAGCGGTCTAAATGTGAATGCCCCCCCCAATAGGTTCATATGGATACATGCTTGGTCCCCAAACAGTCGGTGGAACTGTTTGGGAAGGATTAGGAGGTGTGACCTTCTTTGAGGAGGAGTGTCACTGGAGGTGAGCTTAAAGGTTTCAAAAGCCCATGTCAGGCTCAGGCTCAGTCTCTCTCTCTCTCTCTCTCTCTCTCTCTCTCTCTCTCTCTCTGCCTGCTGTTTGCTGATAAGGATGCAAAGTTTTCAGATGCTGCTCCAATGTCATGTCAGCCTGCCACCCCACCATCTTCCCACCATTATGTTCATGGGCTCACCCTCGGAACTGTAAGCAGGACCCAATTAAATGTGTCCTTATATAAGCTGCCTTGGTCATGGTTTTGCATCACAGCGATGGTACAGTGACTAAGACAGCACTGAAGTGTCTAAGCAAGCAGGCTGCAGCATGGCGCATTTATTTCCTCTCTGCTCTGACTGTGTGTGTGGTGTAGCTCGCTGTCCAGGACCCCTGCCTTTGTGACTTCCCTGTCAGTGAGGAGCTTGAGAATTCCAAACTGAAATAAACTCTTTCTCTTAGTAACACTGCCTGCTGTCAGGATTTTTCCCTAAAGCAACAGAAATGAAACTGGAATACTGCCCTCCCCCCGCACTGCCATGTTCTGGAACACTGCCACTGCCCTCCCTCCATGCTGCCATGCTCTAGAACACTGCCCTCCCCCCATGCTGCCATGCTCTAGAACATTGCCCTTCCTCTGTGCTGCCATGCTCTGGAACACTGTCCTCCCTCCACACTGCCATGCTCTAGAACACTGCCCTCCCCCATGCTGCCATGCTGTAGAACATTGCCCTTCCTCTGTGCTGCCATGCTCTGGAACACTGCCCTCCCTCCACACTGCCATGCTCTAGAACACTGCCCTCCCCCATGCTACCATGCTCTAGAACATTGCCCTTCCTCTGTGCTGCCATGCTCTGGAACACTGCCCTCCCTCCACACTGCCATGATCTAGAACACTGCCCTCCCTCCATGTTGCTATGCTCTTAGTTATATTCCTCAAGTTCCAAGTTTTATCTTTCTTCCTTTAGAGAAACACAATTTAAAATTTAAGATTTAATTTTATTTGTTTAATTTCATCCTAAATAAAGACTAAAGTGTAATTCCCAAACACAGTATATTAGAAGAGCATTACTCACACATCAGAACTGGATGGGTCCTCTGCCCCAAAGACAGCGGTTTCAAAAGGATATCAGGTGAATGGACAAAGGATCACTTCACTGCACTGATGCATGCTGGGCAGATTCAAACTGTTTTGAAAAGCAAAGTCACAGAGGCTTTTTGCCAAGCCAATAGTTTAAAGGTGGTTCTCAAAGGTCTTCCCATCCTGGGCCCCTGACTCCAAAGTGTATACGCCTTTCCTTTATCTCTGTTCACCAGGGACCTGTACCTCTAGTTCTCAGTCTGCCATGCCAGGAGTGTTTCCATGAAAAGCACCAGGGTACACAACAGAAACAACTGACCTGCCTCTTCCACCAAGCCTGTCTTTTGGCTTTCCTTCTGTTACCATTAGCCCTTCTGGGATCACCCTCCTCCCCGTGCCTCAGCTTCCTCCTATCCACCTACTCGAACCTGCTGTGCACACTGTTGTGCACACTGCAGTGCAGCCAAGGCCATCTCACAAAGCCACAGATCCATCTTACTGCTTCCCTGCCAAAAATCACCAGGATGAAGCCAAATCACTGAGTGCTGTTTTGGCTGTTTCTACGAGGGCACCCATGTCTTCCGGGCATCCTCCTTGTGCCCCACTTTTTAAAAAAGCATCCTCCCTCTTTCCTGCATGTAGACACTTATTCTTGTAAAGTTACAGCCCTCACTTGCCCCTTTGTTTCTAACCTCCCAGCCCATTCCTCACGTCCTGCTCCTGCAGGGCGATGGCCTGACCTCACCATCAAGTCACTCCTTTCGATCTCATCTTCTCTGACTCCCAGCTCCAGGTGAGCTACTCTTCAGCTAGCCTTCCCGAATTCACCTTAATGCAGTGACCTGCCTGCTAGCCTGCGTTTGTTACCAGTCCACACCCTCTGTGCAGGGAAAATGTGGACCACAGGCAGCAATCCCGATTCCAAGGAGCGGCAGTGAACAAACATGCAGAATGAGTCAAGTCTGCTGCTACTTTACACTGAAGTTCTCTCCTGCTCTTGCTACAGGCAATCTCAGGTAAATCACCTGGCCTGGGACCGGCCTTGGACTTAGGTGGAATGAGGACTTCTGGGGGGGGGGGGAGCACTACCATCCAACTACAAAGCCCAAATAAAAATTGTCTGCTCATGGCGTCTGAGCTGAGTGAGTCTCCCTGATCATCTGTAAGTTTGGTTTCTACAGTGAAACTGATTCTAGAATGCGGAGCGAGATGCTTCCTAGATACTGATTCACTTTTGATGCGTTCACCAGAGGAAATAATCACTTCCACTGCATAAGTAGCAAAGTTTTCACTGAGATGCCAAGCAAAGCACTCGCTTTCCCCAGCTCTAGATAGGCTCCCAAACCACTCTGTGCACTAACGCTAAGCCCGGAGGCACCCTGACAGGAAAGCTAACAAAAGAAGAGTCAACTTTGAAGGAATAAAGCTAACAGACATCCACCGCTGTTTGCAGGAGTCCTTATAAAGCTGCTGTCATCAAGACCACGTGACACTGAGACAAAAGTCAGAACCGTCCCTGGAACAGGGTCCAGAAGTGACCTCGCACACACGTGCCCACCTCATTCTCAACCCTGTGAAAACAGTGTTTAGGAAGACCTGCAACAACTATGGAATCCTTACCCAGATATCATGACACATACAAAACCTAAGTCAAAGAATTTTTAAGATTTACTTATTATGTATACACACACCACAAGAGGGCACCAGATCTCATTACAGATGGTTTGAGCCACCATATGGGTGCTAGGAATTGAACTCAGGTCCTCTGGAAGAGCAGCCAGTGCTCTAAACCTTTGAACCATCTCTAACCCAATAAAAGAATTTTTAAAATTCCATAAAGTCTCTGAGTTTGGATTAGGTCCCAAAGACTTTTCTTGAATATAGCAAAAGCATGATCCATAAAAGAAAAAAGAAAACAAAATTTACTAAATTATTTTAGAAAAACACTGCTAAGAGAATCAGAAGGCAAGTCAAAGACTAGGAGGGCACCTGTCAATCACACAGCTACTGATGGCCTGACATCCAGGAGAGGGCACCTATCAATCAGACAGCTACTGATGGCCTGACAGCCAGGAGAGAGCACCTGCCAATCACACAGCTACTGATGGTCTGACAGCTAGACTCTGACATAAAAGACTCTCAAAGTTCAATGAGAACAGTCAACAACCACAAACCATGAGCAAATATTTTAGCACTCTCCGCCAACGACAGCACACAGATGGCAAATAAGCACAAGGGAAGATGCTCAACATTATTATTCATTAGGGAGATGAAAGTCAAAACCTGCAAGTGAAACAGGCATGGGCACACCAACCAAGTTCCAGAAGGCTGGGGTGGGCACACTGCGAGTCTGAGGCCAGTCTGGGCAACAGAGACCCAAACACACACACTCATGCACACACACACACACACACATACACACAAGTATACACAAAGGTTACACACATATTCACACAAGTATATACACAGGTTACACACACACTCACATATGTATATAGACACGAGTATACACATACAAGTAAACACACACTCACACATGTATACAGACACACAAGTATACAAACACAGGTATACATATACACATACAAGTATACACACATATACACTCACACACATATATACACAAGTACATACATACACACACATCCGTTGTTGGAAACTGTGAAGTTCTGTCCCTGTATGCTGCTGGTAGGACTGTTAAACAGGATAACTACTTCCCAAAACAGTCTGCGAGTTTCTTGGAAAATTAAATGTATAGTCTCCAGATGACCCAGCCATTGTATTCCACTGACTTTCTCAAGAAATATGAAGCATATATCTATCGTATGTGTCTATGCACATAAGCCCATGGCAGCTGTATTTGCCATGGTGCCAAACAGGAGACAACCTAAAATCCCACTGTGTATGGGCAGCCTGTCATTCCATACAGTGAAGCGCTCACTCGCTCTCGATGTGAACTACTGCAACATGGGATGTGCGGGTGTGGCTGAAAACAAAAACCACACTAAGTGAAAAGGCCTGCTATCCGGGCTGGTGACAGAGGTGGAGGCAGGAGGACCGGGGCCAGCCTGAGATGAAACATGTAAACGAGTACATGTCTGCATCGCACTCCATTTGTGCAGAATCCCAGGACATGTAAACTTAACTTACACCAGTGGCCACGGGTTGCAGGGGGACAACAAACAGGAGAAGACAATATTCATTATTTTAATCATGGTGATGATTACACCAGAAAAAAATAGCTCAAAACTCACCCAACTGTAACTGCAATGGATTACTTGTCTCCCCCAACCTCCAGGCCACACCCTGCTGCTAACCTCCAATGTGATAATACTGAGCGGTCACAGGGTGGAGCCTGGAACCAGTGCCCTCACAGGACACAGACAGGTGCTCCCGCTCTGCCACGGACAGACAGTCAGTGTCACCTGAAACATGAAACAGCAACTTCCCTGGGACCAAAGCAGCCACAACCTCCATGCTGGACTTCCAGTCTCCAGTACTGTGAAAAATAAATCCCTGTCATTTAGGCTGACGAGTCTGTGGCATCTGTTATAGCAACTTAAACTAACAACACAGCATTTTAAGTGTGTTCAATTTGGTGATATCGCTGGAGAGTTTGAAAAGAAGGGTCCAGAGACACTAAGATTCTTTCCAACTGTGAACACTGGGTGGTGAAGGATGCGGGCCACTCATGATGGGAAGATGTTCTGTCATTGTGTGAGGGAGAAATACAGTAATGAAATCTGCCAAATAATCAACCTTGAGATGGGGAGGGTATCCTGGACTGTCCAGGTGTGTCACATATACCCCAAAGGGAGAGAATAGAGGAAGGACCAGAGGAGACACGAGAGCAGAAGTTACTACAACTGGTTTTGAGGATGGAGGAAGGAGCCACAAGCTAGTGAATGCAGGAAGACCGAGGATCAAGAGAGGGCAAGGAAATAGCATTTCTCTTAAAAGCCTCAGGAAGCAACAGGTCTGCTGACACCCCGAGTTCAGCCCGTGGGGCTCACTCATTTCAGAGAGCTGATTTCAAAACTCTAAGACAGTAGTCTGTGTTGTTTTAAGCCACTGTTGTGGCGATGGGATACAGACGATATCAGAAATCAGCACTAAAAAGCACCCATAGTCCAATCTGCCACAGTGGGACCCCTCCTGCAACCCGCCTTTCTGCCAGAGTTCTCCGGCCTCTTCATGGGCCAGAGGCCCACCCACCAGGACTATGCTCGCCCCTGAGGACTCTGTGTGCTGAGGGATGGGTGATGGCCCGCTGTGTGACAGACATGAACGAGCCCAGCCTCCTGGGTGGCCATTCCACTGCCCTCACCATCTCCTGCTGTTTAAAATGCCATGGGCAGTAGTCACATGACAGTCCATCTCGGGCCCTGTTCTAGGACGTCCCTGCTCACTGCAACCTTTCCCCCGGAGACAACACGTCATTCTTAAAATTACACCATGTCTAATGGTGTCATTTATGTAAGTCCCAAGTCCCAAATTAGAACTAAAGATCCCGTAAGGGATAAAGGCATAGGATGACACCGAGCAGCTCAGGCAGCTGAAGGGTTTCACTCAAATGCTAATTACGATCGTGATAGCGAACGTGCACTTTACCTGAGTTTTTATGAATGATATCACCACTTTCTCCCCACTACATTGTCTTACCCCATCAGAAAATAAAAAACAAACAAAAACCCAATCAAACAACTAAGAATAACCACACCTGCTCCCAGTCCTGTCCCACTAGGATCCAGATTTGGGTATGGGAGAGCTCTGAAAGAAACATTGGGGACAATCAGAAAATTAGAATACGGACTTTTTTTTTTAAAGATGGGTCTGTGTTGCCCAGACTGGTCTTGTACTCCTGGACTTAGTGACTCTCCAGCTTCAACCTCCTAACTAGTTGGAGGTGTGAGTGGGTGCCATTGTAACCAGCTAAATAAGACTTGTTCATCTTTAAACCTGTAACGGTATTGTGGCTGTGTAGGAAAATGTTTGTAAGATAGATACACATGCTTAGATAGGCATTCATCCCAGCACTCAGGAGGCAGAGGCAAGAATTGGAGTTCTGGGTCATCCTTTTACACAGCAAGTTCAAGGCCAGACTTGGCTACTCAAGTCAGTCAGTGTCAGAAAGCAGAAGAGGAGGGAAAGGTGTGTGGCTGTGCTCACAGAGAGTTGTCCAGCAAATATTTGTGTGACCACATCATAGGGCAAAACAAACAGCAGAATATTTATTATTATTTAAAATTAAAGGCTGGACACTGAAGATAACTGTATGTAAATCTGGAGGAAGGTTGGAGACTGAACAACACACAGTGTCAGGATGCAAACATATACAGTAAATATATCAGGAGACGGAATAAGAAAAGTCACCCAGGCAAGTAGCTGGAAGGTGCCAGGCATCAAGCCTGTGTTTATTAAATGTCGTGCAAACCGGAGTACTCCATGAGGACTTCCAGCGGGTGCACTGCACTCCACACGCACACCATCCTAGACGGCTGCCAAAAGGCTTCACCTAACAGTAAGTGGGTGAAAGAAAACAAGAACCACAGCCAGGGAAGAGTCCAGGTCTATCTTGTTTCCTCATCTGGATTTCTACACATTGAGGTGAAATGTTAAGTCCAAGATGAACTTAATAAATATTTACTGCCCCACAGCGCCACCGTGTATTTGAAACAGCCACTTGGAACAGGAAGATGGTGTGGCAGGGAGCCCTTATCTTAACGCAAACTCCAGGTAGACGACTACAGAGTGCGCTGAGCTTCAGCACTCCACACCCAGCTTTCAGTCAGTCAACCAAGAGTCCTGCTGACACTGGGAAGGACTGCCAGCAGTCAGGAACAGCCTTTAGGCTCACAAAACATCTGAGATAAACAGGATCCCCAGAGAGCTCTGGACTCCCCCATTCTGTGCATTTCAATGTTGTATTAAAACAAAGTTTAAGATCTTGGTCGTTCCGACAAACACTTAAGCAGACATAATTACTAGAAGAATACATCTGACCCCTTTGTGGGGGGAAAAAAAATTATCAAGACAACTAATGGCAGCTCCCGGCAGGAACCGGTCCCGGGAGCTCAGAACACACCAAGACCTGACTGCAGGAGCGCAGAATGTGACAGTACTGAGGAAGGAATCCATGAGCCGCTTGCTCCAAGAGGCAGGGCTGTCCTGTCCTGGCATCAACGGCTTTTCTCTCTAGCAAGGACCTGGCCATTTAAAATGACCTGTCTCACAGAGAAGGCTCCCAGCAGTTTTCCTACCTGAGATTTTACAGAGATAACAAGCAACCCTTGGTCACCATACGTGCCAGCGATGAAGGGTGGCATCTGATCTGAACCCTGCTTAGAGAGGTACCTAACAACCATTTTCCCAAGGCACACGCCAAATCAAGTCCCCCCAAAATTGGTAAAGATCCTGAGTGACCTGTTTCATTGCACTGAATTAAAATATTTCAAAGCAGAATTTTCAAATACAGAATAGTTAAGGGAAACATAGAGGCAAGCCATGTGTTTAGCTGAGTCATCTAGGAAGAGATAAACGTCTATCTTACAAAAATGATATTCTATTACTGTATATTGGTGTTATAATATCTTTACAAGATCACTTTGTCCCACCTGCTTCTAGCCAGGACGACCATCTTCCGAGAATTTGCCACAGTGACCAACACAAAGGGGAAGAGCATGGGATGTGTGTCCTCTAGAAACAAGCAGAGTGCCACTCACTGTGATCATGAGGGTCTGGGGAACACTTAGCAAGGATGCCCATAAACATCACCATGAAGAAACAGGAAGAGTCAGCACTACTGATGCTGGTACAGTGAAGCAAGACTCTTGTCAAGAGCACCCATGACTGGTGACCATAGTAAGCTCCCCGAGAGCCGAGAGTGTCACTAATTAGTGAGGGAAGATGATCATGAGAAAGAAGGAAGCAAAGAGGCACCAGGTTTGGCCAAAGTACCAGTCAGCTCTACCTGAAGAAGCAATGGGAAGAAGACTGAGCCGCTGCAGACCATCCCCTAGGATTAGTGGGGTACTAACTAAATAAAGACCTCTAGAGTGGAAAACATAACAAAATTACCAAAATAACAATACAAAATGCTCACCTTTCCTTGGACATTTATAAATGCACAAAATATTGATTGCTTGCATCAGGAAATCCACTCTAGATGTGGATCCGCTGATGGGTCCTTCAGAAGTTCCCTCTTGGGGCCTCCTCAGAGGACAAGGGCTTTCCTAAGCGTGTGTCTTCAGGAATATAAGCTATGCCACAGAGGCCAGTTCTAGTACAGGTGTGTAGACAGGAAGCTGAGGGCAAGTGAGGGTGGGACTTGGCCATCTTAAAGTCTTTTTGGTATTTGGGATTTCTAAAGAACAGCCTAAAGGTGTTACTGCATGAGCTTTTATGCTTTGGGTCTTGGCTTTAAGCAGTTCATCTTATTGTTTTGAGAAATTTCCCAGAGAATAGTGTCTGCTGCCTATAACTAACCGCCTGCTCCACTAGAGAGGAGTAACAGCCAGAAAGGACTGAGCTGGCTGTGTCCACGGTTCTGCACAGCTGTATTACCAGAGTTGCCCACCCTAACCAGGCCTCCGCACTGGAAGGCACGCCTTAGCCCAAGTCTCTGTTCTGTCACACCTGCTCTCCCACTGCGAGACGTCAACTGCTTTTCCGCTCGCTTGGCTATTACTCCAGACACATCGTGAGGAGCAAGTCCAAAAGAACTGAGCCCCTCACAGACATCAGATGCTATGACTTAGGGCTAACTTAAGCTGTCTGGATTTGGTGTGTAACAATCTGCACTAGGTTTGATAGATCTATTAGTTACCACCTGATCATTTAATATCCTGGGCCTCAAAAAGGACACCACCAGGGTGTGAGCGTAAACTAATTTGTTAGCGCTCACTGGTTCTAAGTCCCTGTTGGACTCAGGAAGTGGTGAGCCCAAGGCAGATACCTGGATGCTCGCTCTTCTGCTTTTCAAAACAGTGCTGGACCTACCCTCCATTTCGGCTTTTTCTTCTTCCTCACAGAAGAATCACACACCCCTCTCTCCTGGCATATGCACATACTCCCTTGCGCTCCTGGCTCACTCCCGCCTGGCGCTCAGGCCTACTCATCCATGTCAGCGTCTCACCTCTCATTTATTTCTAGGAACACACCTCCCCTCCACTGAAAAACGTCTTCCCTTAGCCTCTTTTTTAATGAAAAAAATCCATACAATATATTTTGATCATGTTTTCCCCTCCTCCCAGATCTCCCCACCTCGCTAATCACACAGCTCTGTGCTCTTTTCCTCTCTGTCAAAACAAAAAAGCAAAATGAAACAAGAAGCCCACAGGAATACCAGAGTTCACTGTGTGTTGGCCAACTACTCCTGGGCACGGGTTCTGCCCTGGGATGTGGCTAATGCACCACTGACACTCTGCTGGAGGAAATTCATCTTCCCTTTGCAGGGAGGTATCAACTGTGGATAGTTTCCTGGTTAGGGGTTGGCACCCTGTCTGCTCCCCTTTCTCAGAGCTCGGGCCCCATCTGGGCAGGCCCTGCACATGCTGCCTCAGGTTCAAAACTCAGGTGAGTTCACCTGCGCAACAGGCCCGTCGTGAGTCACCCATCACCTCCAGCTCCTCCACCTTTCCACCTCTTCAGTACAGCACCCTGAGCCTTGAGGGTATGGTCATCCTGGGGGGACAAGGGTCCCCCTATCTTGGTGCTGCCATTACATTGCCTCTTCCCAATAGCAGCTACCAAGTGTGCTCCCCTCACCAGAGAGCCTGGCTTCCACCAAGACCTTTGGCTGAATTCTGTGTGTGCCTCGGCCTTTAGCCTAAAGAGCTACTCAGGATACCTTCCGAGCAACCCCTCCTCATTTGGCACCCAGGACCCTTTATCTTGGTTACTCCTTACATCCCTAACTCTTTTCTAGTATGGACACTCTTTTGTTAGTCTCAACATGAGCACCGGACGCATGGTCCCACCGCCATATTTTGAAAGATACGTGCCTTCTCTCTGCTGCAGGACATCACCTGTGCTAGACTGACTAGCCCATTTATTCCCCAGATGGCTCTGCAATCCTACCCTCCTTTTCAGGGTTCCTGACTAGTTCCAGCACTTTCCAGACCACTGCTCTTGAGCTACACATGTCTCGGCAGAAGTTCCCAGGGACAAGCTACCTGTGGCGCTACGTACACCTAACCCCAGCACCTGGAAAGTAAAGGCAAGAGGTTGATTGATGGGTTCCAGCTCAGCCTGGACTACACAGGAAACACTACTTCAGAGGAAACCAGCAACCAAAACAACAACAAAAACGGAGTCCATGCTTCCCAGAGTCCATGAACAAAGAGGAACATCAAAAGCTATAAGGCTCTCAAGTGCTTGACTCCACCTCCCAATCAGGCAGAGTTTATGCTCAACGAGTTTCTGAGTTCTGTTCCTAGAACGCCGAGTCAAGAAGCAGCTCGGCAAGCCTTTTGCCTAGAACATCCTGCCCTGACCGCTGTCCACCTGACTGGATTCCCAGGCATCCATCCTTACTTCCCACTTCAACCCCCAAGTGCTCTTCAGAGTTCCTCCTACAGTCTCCAGACTGTAGTCCATTCAGACCTTCCAGTGCGAACAAGGCCTTCATGGCTGTCTACTGAATGTAGCCCACACAAGGCTCCAGGGTGGGACTGGGCTAAGGGGGTCCTTGTCCTCTGCCAAGTACTACTCCACCATTACAAGTCCTGGAACATTCCCCTGGAGGGAAGAAGCACTTTTTCCACATGTTAATTCTCCAAACGCAGAGCCTTCTCTAGGCAGAAGTCTCAGGGTCCCGAACAATGGAAATGTCACATTAACACCAACATAAAGGCTAAAAAAGGGCAAAGCACGGGGTGCAGTTTAATAGCAGGCCATAAAGCACCTCCTCTACTTCTTGCATTAAACTCAAAGAAATTTTTCTTCTTGCTCTTTACTGGCTCTTAAACAGAAGAGCACTTAAACAGTTTCGATAGACCAAATATTAACCAGCCTCCAACGGGCAACTGATTTAAAAATAGCCCTTGACCTGGAAATATAGGTGTGTTCAAAGACACACCCTGATAAGAAAGGACAGAAGACACCTCAAAGCCTGGCAAGTCAAGGACTCCTAGAGAGAACACTCCAGAAGTACAGGAATATTTCAGCCGTTTGAACAAGTTCACCCTCGTCTAGGAAATCACCACAAGACGAGTTACAGATGGACGCTTTTCATCTCGGAAAACCACGTCCATCAAAATATGTACCAATGACAGCTAACAACACAACATTTTATAAACAAACACACAAACCAGTGGGGTAAAGAAGTCACTAAGGGAGATGTCGAGTCTAATGAGGCAAATGATACCGTTCCTGTTTTAAATACATTCTGGTGCTTACAATGTAAGTAAATCCACTCAAGAGCTATTTTACGCACTGTTTCCCATTTTCTGGACACATTTTGTCTTAATAAAAGCTCCCTCTAGTTAAGGAAGTCAACATGAGGAGGCTGGTATTTCCTTGATTCCCAAGGATAGCAGTGCTAAAGCAAAATCTCAACCTAATTAATTCTATTTTGGGTCTAGTTTCCAGGGCAGTTTTCACAAAAGGCTGTTCTTAGCCCCACTGTCTCCAGCTTCCAACCTTCCATAGCTAGAAAATGTATTCTGTCCATTTCCTCAGCACACACATTTCCCAGACTCTCATTTGATCCTCATACCTATCCAGTGGGGAAGAGGCTGTCAACTCACCGAGTCCAAAGTTTTGGTCCTAAGAACACCAGCGTATTTATTGCTTCCGCGTTATTGTAGCACAGATTTGTACCTCAAGCTCCATTGAGTTCATTAACGTAAGCTTTTGGAGGAACAATCAAGCTGCCCAGAGCGCCAGAACAACACAGAGGTGGGGCAGTTAGGTTCCTGTCACAAAATTCTGTGAGCTTGACCTTGGACCATCTCAAGACAACTAGTCTTTGTTTTTGTTTTGAGACCGGGGCCCAGGGTCCAGCTTACTACAAAGCTGGAAATTATTATTGTTATTTTTTTGCCTCCACCTTTCCCTATTCCCTAGTGCTGGGATTATGGGTAAACACCACCATACCATCATCCACAAAAGAATTCAAAGGATGATTCAAAAGTTTTGAGTTTCTCAAGCAAAGTGGAATTCTGTAAACATAAGCTTTTATAGTTAAGGTATTCTCTAGCCCAATTTCCCAATCTACCTATTTCACACGGTCATAAAACCGCATTTTTTCTCTCCAAAAGTTCTTGTTGGCACCAGTTTATTAGGAAAATACCTAAACTCCCGACTAGCTTTAACTATAACAGTGGTACTACACCTGCAAGTCTTTAAGTATGAAGCAAGGTTAATCTAAAGGTGGGGTATGTGTGTGAAAAGTCTGGAATTAGCCTGTTCGGTTACGGGGAAACCGCTGGTGGGGACAACTGCCCCGTGTGCGATGCGCTCGCGTGTTCCCCATGTACAACAGCCTCAAACCCTCCGAGATCTATCAGCCCGGAAAAAAGAACAGAGAAACGAAAGCGCAGCTTGGAGCAGCTCCAGAGCCGGTCTGCGTCAGGCTCCAATGACAGCCTAGAACCCAAGGTGCCCGTCTTAAGTTTACTCCCAACTTTGTCGCCCTACCTAGGAGTGGCGAGGGAGGTGGCAGCCACTAGACCGCAGGGGCGCCCGCGGTGACGGGTTCCATCCTGGCCCCTGAGCGGGGTTAGGGTGCGGGGTGCGGGGGGGGGGGGG